TTACATGCTCCCATTTAATGCTTTGATAAATGACAAAAAGGAGGGCTAAAATCATCATGTATTCCCCTTTTTAACAGAATTTTACATTGCCTCATTCATGAAAGCCACAACCTATTTACTGATGGACTGATTAGTCTTATTCTTACTTACCTTTTATCAGACAGGGGAAAAAATTACCCAATTTTTACTAAAGATAGACTTTCCTTCAATTTACTTAACTGTTGGAAATGTTCAAGCAGGGTTAGAGGCCGAGAGTGGGTTCAAAAACGTTCTTGTAAACAAAAGAGGGTTGTAGCAAGAACAATTCAAGCCCATAATTTGCTGATCGAACCATTTACTATGCAATGTTGATGTTTAGTTATATTAGGTTCTAAATGTGTGGGGGTTTTTTTAGATTTAGACTTGTGTAAAGTCGTTTTAATCCTTTTTTTCATTGAATGGGGGAAGAAAATGTGACATCAGCCCATATTGAGGATCTGTTAGACTGAACTCAAAATGATCTTTTATTAACAACACAAAGCTGTGTTGGGTACAGGGACATGTGAATGTATAACATCACAATGTTAGCATGCAGCAGGAACAATGTATTACCATTGTGTTAATATTGTGCTGCTTATTTAAATGAGCCCCTCTTGGACTATTATCAACTATCACACCTTAACATAATGTACCATCTGTTTTTAAAACATTGTTAAGTTTTCTGCTGTGTAAATCTGAAGCAAACGATTATAAATCAGGATGGTGAATTAACAGATGCAGTCTCTGCTGTCAGGAAATGTTCCACTCATGGGAGCTGTAATGCCTCCATGGTGTGAGAGAACATTTACAGCCATGCGGATGAATGTCAAGATTAAAACTCACATAAATAAATCCAACAAATCTGCAAATATATTTACAGAAAAATCTGAAAACATGCTACAGCCCACAAGGGAGCAGAAATCGCATCTGTATCAGTCTGAGAGCCAGATTAAAAACAAATGGCACCAAAACATTGTCGAAGAGAATGACAAACGTTAAAAACTAAACAGATGAGTTGTACTAAAAACAAAGATCTTGTCTCAAAGGGGATGCACAAAGGGGAACCTTTTGTGGCCTTCTTGCCACCGCAAAAAAGAAATCTTGTAGTCCATCTTTCAGCGTAAGGGTACAGACTTCCGGAACGAGTTATAACCATAACTCCAAAGAGATTGAATCAGTAAGAAACAGGATTGCATAACAAAAACTGTTACTGGGACTGGCACCAACTAAATATGAATGTTATTATTCCGTACATGACAAAACTCTTGCTTGGTTGAGCTACTAATCATGCTTTTTATTAATTTCAAATTTCTTAACCTCTTATATGGATTTCATTTCTTTGAACCCCCCCCAAATGTGTCAAAATACAGACCAATAGGTCAGACCTGGAGTCCACATGGGGTTTGGTAAACACTGGTTATAAAGCAAAGCAGCTGACTGAATGAAAAGACCAATCTTAACATTCAGCAATACAATGTTCACAATTACATATACTGCTCCTGCAAATCTGTTTTGTGAGTCGCAGCAACACCTCAGCTGAAACCACTTTTTTTTTTCATTTCCTTTTAATCGACATCTTGGGCTAATCTTTAACCCAGTTTATTTAATTCAAACAGTTACTGTAACAATAATATGTAATTATGCTGGTGCAGATAAAATGGTTGCCAATCTCCTCCCTGTGTTTCGTGCAGGTTATGATGCTATAAAGCGTGGGTGCTGCTTTGATGATCACTGATTATAAAAGCGGTAGGGGTAAGACTTTAGATAATAAACATCAAAGTCTCTGATATATAACCGTCAAACAGCAACTTTCTTAATATCTAACTTAAATTTAAGTGTAATATAAACACAGGCGTGCCAACAGTGTCCCTCAGTAGCAAATGAACAAAGAATGAGAAGTTCTTGCACTTTCATAAAGACAAAATCTCCTTTAAAACTGCCTCAGACTGTTATTAACACACCAATCAAGTTCTGCGAGTGTGAATTCCCATGAATAATGACATTATGGCACGCGCCAAATGGGCAGTGAGAGGTTAATGCAGAGAACTATGCATTCAAAATGAAAAATGATCTGTTGCTAAGGATAGGCCATGACGTGTCAAAAACATGCCTCCACATCTGCCACCTCCACATAAATCCGCTCTGTCTCATCTCAATGTCCATTATTGTCTTTCTGGTGTCTTTGAATCACCTGGCTGGCCAATCTACAATAGACTACAAGCCAAACTGGAGCTGCCCTGAATTACTGTTTACTATTAGCCAACTGTTTTGGTAAAGCCAATTCCTTGGTTGGCCGCTCAGAAAAGTAACAGCAGGTGCTTACCTCAACACCTTCAGCTTTCTCATCAAACAGAAGGAGGAGGCCAGACTTTGCATAAAAAACTAACAAATAAAAAAACCCAATGACTGCATTTTAAGCACATAGTTAAAAAATACCACACAGGATGCTTTTAAGAATTTAATACTGCTGAACAAGTAAAGTATAATTACACTCGTTTTTACTCAATTCAATTCAGTTTTATATACCACAAATTTACAAAACATTCTCTTCTCCAGGCACAACGCAGACAGCTCTAGCAGATCATACAGAGGGATCTGTACAAAGCTGATTGCTGGTTTTCCTTAAATAGAATAAGAAGGATGGGCCAAGACATCGAGTCATTGACTTTATATTTGTTCTTTAAAGGCATTTTCTTGCATTCCATACAGCTGAACCAAAAACGGTGTGCCCTCATTGGAGAAGTACACTCCTTTCCAGAGAATTCAAAGCCAACATCATCCCTTCAATCAGATTTCAAAAGAACAGGAGTAGACTGCAATGGTTCCATCTGATTGTCAACAACCAAATCTATATCCATCTAGGATCTGTAAAACAAGTGGATGATGCCTCACAAGAGCCACGTCTGATCGTTGTGTATCCACACCATGCTTCTACCAGCAACACAGCTAATACCATCCTCATAATGGCGCTTTCAAGGGATGCATATAGCTGAAATCAATCAGATGAAAAGCTTTGATAATATAAATAGAAATGTTAAGCTATAACCATCCTCTTTACAATTTGCCTCAGCATTGATGTTGGTATACATCACAGATCATTTGCTCTAACTAGGTGTCTCGATACAACATTTTTCATTTCTAATACGATACAGATAGAGCACCTTTAAGAACGGACCAATACAGAAACTAACCAGTTACTGTATCAGTACAAATCCCACATGCTTTTATTATTTATTTTGTGCTGTAGAATATTAGGAAGGGCTTGATCAATGACATTAGTAAAACAGAGAACAATAGCCAACAATAGTTATTCAAACAACAGAGCCATGTAATATTAACCAGAGGGTTACAGGAACTTTAAACAGAAGCAGACTGTTTTCTATCAGCATGGCAATATCGGAGATTTTAGATGTAGGCCCAAATTTCAAGACAGAAGAAAAAATCTCTCCCCACAACAGTTTTTATTAACCCATTATAGGCCACTCAGTGAAATACTTTGAAAATCAAAATTTCAAGCCATGTTACAAAGGTAATAAGAACAAGACCTTATTACCTTTGTAACATG